AATGATGATGCTGCTGCTGATGATGATGATGATGATGATGATGATGATGATGATGATGATGATGATGATGATGATGATGATGATGATGATGACCTTTTGGCATTATGACGTGGACGCGCGCACTTTTTGTTGCTATAGCTTGTAGTCATTAGATCTTACATTATCTTTTTTGTATCGTGTTTCTGGCGAAGCCCTTTACCGGGCGAAACGTTGAACCTGTATTAAATTAGAAAAATCTACAAAGTCAGAACCCTTTTTTATTCCCTGCTACTTACAATGATGATGATGATGATGATGATGATGATTCTTCTTCTTTTTTTAAATTGGTGTATTTTTATATTTGTTTATTCTCTTGGGTTTTTTTTTTATCGTAGGGTTAGCTCAGTTGGTATCACATGAGCTGTGATGCGAGTGGCGTAGGTTCGACTCCACCAGGGATAGCTTTTGAACTTAAATTGTTTGGGGAGTTTTCAAGGATCTCCATCCACTCAGCTCCTTTCTGATAGGGGATGAACGTAAACTTAGGAGCTCCTGCCTCTTTTTAAAAACAGTACAGTTTTTATTCTCATAAATATACATTACGTTTGAGATCAAATATAAACCATTCTTAAGTTTGCCAATGGATGGGGGGAGGGGGGTTGTAGGGACTACTAATAGCCATCTTGAAATTCTTTTATTTGATTCGACTGTGATCCGGACTAACAAACCTTGTTAGTGTAGGGCGATCGAATCGTGAGGTGGCAAATTGGCGGGAAATCACGCGAAACTCCGGACAGAACATCCCCTGTCTTCTGCCAAGTGCACACACTGTCAACATGTCAGCCGAATTTATCGGACCGAGTCTGAGCCAGTCAAATTTTCCTTCACTTATGGAAAGCCTCCTAAAAGCGTATGTATTGCAAATCCGTTTGTATGATGGATGTAAGAGCTGGATTCTAAACAAAGACACAGATGGAAGACTGGAGTCTTCTGAAATGTGGTATTTAAGTTGAATACTCATAATCTCATGGACAGAGAGGAAAACAACTAGAAAAATGCTCCAAATGGCAGTATGTGAAAGATCTATAATCAGGACCATCAGAAAAAGACAGTTACGATTCAGTTGCCACATAAATATATCAAATGGACTAGAGTAACTGCTACTGTGTGAAAAGATTGAGGGGAAAAAGCGCAGAGGAAGACAAAAAATACACGGATGGCCTGAACAACTTTGCAACGAATAACATAAGGAGAAAAACCGAACTGATCATGAAGACAGACAACGGGAAGGATTGGGGTACCATGATGGTTAATGTCTGAAGAAGAAGAAGATGGGGCAAAAGTTCCCATTGAAACAACGATACATGACAGAATTCAACAAAAGCTACCTCAAAATTATTAAGTTCTGTCTGACATTTTTGGCCGTTTTGAGTTATAAAGACAATGAGGTTAGAAACAATGTTCTATCTACTCTATCAAAATCGTTCAATTATTTGCAGTCGCTACCAAGGTATTCAAGGAAGTGCATTTTTTAAAAAAGCTTGATTTTACGTGAAACTCAAGATCTTTGACATCAGATTCCTCAAAACTATGTACAGAGCAGACAGAACATTGTAATTTTGAGGTAGCAAAAATTCGACTGTGCTCTTCAAAATGAAACGTGTGTCGAGACCCTTTGCCCCATCCAGGAAGATAAATCTGGCTGGCCCAGACTGAAACCAATGAATCCAATTGTGTGACATCGTGGTAAAATCTGGTGTTCGTAAAACTAAGGAAATCAAAGAAACTGCCACTTCATTTAACAACCAGTTGAGAATTTGTATCGATTTCTTTTATAAAGATCTAGCTCAACACCTTTTGTGTCCATTTAAAACCACATTTGAAGGTTGATTTTTTTTCAAACCTAAATCAATGGTACACACAAGTCAGTTTGCAGTTCCCAAGGGCACTCAGTCCTTGTAAGTCTCCAAATTTTGGTGGTCGGTTTTCTAGCTATTTTTACATCTGACACCACGTGACCCCTACCTCCTTCACTCACAAATGTCTCAATTTCTATTTAAAAGAGATGGGTACTTTTTGCTTCAAAACCAAGACAAATTAACAAGCTTTAAGGCCATACCAATAATTTCATATTATTGTGCCTAGAAATAATTGACGAGAGCCTGATTATACCGCGTCGTGACACATTTCGCATTCAGTGTGCACGGGTCTTACGCACACTCTGTGAGATAGAGAAGGCGGTAGATACAATGCCTACGCTTCGTCTTAGTAGAATATATTATGACTTAAAAAGTGCACTTGAAAACGGCTTTTCAGTCTTTGTAGCTAAATAATCTAGATTGCTTTTTATTTTTAAAAAAGAGAATGAAACATAAATTATCATCTGATTCAGAAATGGGAAAACAAGAGGTGGGTTATATTGGAAGAGGGATGGAGTGCATTGGAAGAGGGGTGAATCCGGATAGAAGTTCAGTAATAGAAATTATCCAGTTATTCGGATAATCGATCCGAAATTGGCCCGGTTCGGATTGGCGTCTGCCGTTTGAGTGCGTATATGGTTGCGAATCAATGACCACTTTTTTGGTGAAGAACTTCACTGTTGGCCAACCTGTGGATCTTGTGTAGCTCTACTTTTCAATCTTAATTAATTGCGATTGTGAATTCAGGGAATTGTTGGGTTTTTTTCTGCCATTTTACCAGTGAGTATTTCCCTATCTCGATTTCAATTTAGCCTCTGTGTAACTTAATTCCTCGGTGACCGTAACATCACATATAATACACCAAAACGGGTCCCACCTAATTGGTGTAATATTTTTCGTTGTTCCGCAAACTAATATTGTTATGGGCCCCAGCTATAACATAAGTACTGCCGGGACCAACGTGATCTCTATTATAGCTGAACCCTCTTTTATAAGGGGATCAATAATTACAATAATATATTATAGCATTTACGCTGCACATCTCCATTTTAAAAAAATGCTCAATACCCATTATATTCACGTTCTCCTTCCCACCTACCTTCTCTCTCTCTCTCTCTCTCTCTCTCTCTCTCT